TGCATCAAACTGGATCCTGAAGATAAAGTGCTGGGCAGGATGGTGCACTGCCCCATCCAGACACAGATCCGAAGGGTGAGAAGAGGGGGCTGAAAAGATGGACAGAGACAGGGCCTGCAGGAGAGGCTGACTGGAGGAAGACAGGGGGAAAACCGGGGCAAAGAGGGAGGGGCTGGGAAGGAGGCAAGAAGGGGCCCTGGGCCTGGTCCAAACATTCCCCAGGGGATCTGGAGGTGGGCCCTGCCTGCCCTCCAGACAATGTTTGAACAGCTGCTGGTGCCAGCAGGAGGAACTGGAGGAGCACCAGGGAACCCAGTGCAGTAGAGTGGAGCGGGCTGGCGAGGACCCCCACAGCTACTACTTCCCTGGACAGTTCGCCTTCTTCAAAGCCCTGCCCCCAAGCTGAGCCCGACTGGTAGGTGGCCAGAGGACAGCCCTTGGAATGGAGTGGGCTGTGGGAGAGAGGGGATGAATTAGGAGCCTGGGAAGAAGGCTGGGACGGGGACCAAAACAGCCTCCCTCACGTCCAAATCTGTTTTCTTCCTTCCCTCTAGAATCTCCTTGGGCTTCCTGGACAGCTGCAGGCAGTATACAGTGGAAGACTCCATCCTCCCGGGCACACGCTCCCATATCTTGAGCTAATAAAACTGCTCTCCAAGCTGGTTCTCTCTACTCTTTGTGTTGCCCCTGTCCCCTCATTATCTGTCTGCAGGCAGCATTGGGATGAGGTGTCTGTGTGCACAAACTTGCATGCACATGTGCAAGACCCTCCTGTTGGACACCAGAAAGCAGGATCTGGGCCTGGGCAGAAGCTGGGTGAGAAGATCCTCTTATGCAGGGAGAGTAGAGACTGAGGAGCCCAAAGACCAAGCTGGCCCAAGTGGAATGACAGGCAGTGATGCACACAGAAACGGCTGTTTAGTAGAGACAAGTAGGTGACAACAGAGAAACACAGGATGGGGCCACAGCCCAGACATCCAGACAGGCAGATGTGGAAGGTGGGTAAACGCCAAGCATGTTCTCTGCTAGCAGTGGGAGACTTGTCCATGTTTAGTCACTGGTATTAAGTCCTTCCATGAAGTCTCTGTCTGGAGCAGCTGCAGACCCTCGCCCACCTGCCTTAAGATGCTTGTGCTGGCTGCCTGCAGAGAGCCCTTATGGCTGCTAAGGGCCACTCTGGAGGTGCCTCCCTGCAGGATGTGGAGGGAGAGAGAGGGCGTGGGAGAGGAGCTGCCTTCAGTACAGGACCAGTGACCAGCAACAGGGGAAGTGCAGAGGCAGGGACGGCAGATCTGGACAGTGAGGCTGCCTAGCAGGCCGTCTGGAGCCATGGGGAGCATTCAGAAGACAAAGGAAGAGGTGGTGCCTGCAGGGCTGAGGGCCTGCTCGGCCTGGGCCAGGCAGTCACTGGCCTGGCGGTCCAGGTCATGGCACTCCTGCAGCGTGTCCTGGAACTGCCGGCATGCCTCCTCCAGGATGGAGCTGCTCCGGGTGGGCCAGGCATCCCAATATCCTGGCTCCACCCAGGGCTGGGCTTCCGGGGCTCTGGGACCTGGGCTAGAGCTGGGCAGCAAGGAGCTGTCCAGGTCTCGGCACAGCTGGTAGAGCTCACTGCCGCGCCCCGTGACACGCTCACCGTCGATGACTTTGAGGCCAGGCAGCAGTTCTCGGACCACAGCCCAGTAGGAAGGGTTGGTGCACAGTGGGTTGCTGAGCCGGGCCAAGGGGTCCCGGAGCCGCAGGTGCTCCAGGCCTCGCAGCCCAGCCAGACACTGCAGCTGGCCAGGAGTGGCCAGCAGGTTGCCTGCTACATTGAGACTCTGCAAGCTCTCGCAGGCTGCCAGCGGCTCCAGCCCTGTCAGCCGGTTGTTGGAAACATTGAGCACGGTCAGCTGGCGCAGGGAGGCCAGTGGGCCCAGCTGGGTGAGCGCATTGCCCGACAAGTCCAGCCACTCGAGGCCCAGGCACTCTCCTAGGCAGCCCAAGTCCACCAGCCCCAAGCCTCGCAGCTTCAGCAGCAGGATGGACTCCAGGGCAAACTCGCCTGTGTGCAACTTCAGCAGCTGGGGCGTGATGTGCAGCCCGTCAGCCTCTCCCAGCTTCTCACCTGGAGGCTCCATGACGCGGAAGTCACTTCAGATGACCTGGGCCCTGGCAGTGCCGTCACAGGGACCAGGGTGCAACTGGGGGTCAGCTGGATGCTGTCCCAAAAAAAGGCACCTTCAACTCTCCCTGGGTCAGTGCTGGGAGGGCTGTATCCGACCCCGCTTGAGGGCCAGCAGGATCCTAGGGAGACATAATTAAACAGTCAGGCAGTCCTCCCCTGAGCAGTACTTGTGCCCTGTGTAGCAGGTGACAGCAGGAAGTATGACCCACCCTTTTTATTCACTCAAAAATGTTACCTCAATTTTTTCCTAACATTAGCAACAAATTGAAAATGGCTTCCTGATTACGTAGGTCATGTTGTACCTGCATCCAGCTGCAGCTATAGGGCCTAAGCTGTAGGGATCAGCCTTTAGTACTAGAAGGGGAAACTGAGGTCAAGGGAGGAAGCCAGGCAAGCCAGGCAGGATGGGGTCCCTCCACCCCCACCCCCACCCCACCACCGTCTGCCCAGACTGGCTCTATCGCTCAGGCAGGTCAGAGGTCAACAGAACAGCACTGATTATGTACCAGAAAGCACTGTGCCAGCTGCAAATATGACATCATTGCCCAAAAGGGCAAGCAGGGGGAGGTGGAATAGTTAAGGAAGCTGTGTTGGAGGGAGGGGCAGGGGGCACCCAAGTTGGCTGCAGAAAGGTGGGGGAGGAGCAGTGGAGTGGGAAGGCATGAGCCAGGTGCTGGTATGCAACCGCGGTACTGGAGGGAGGAGGCCTTGAAAGGGACGGTGGCGACACTGCCCACAGGCGGTCAAGGCTGAAGCAGAGAGGAAAACAAGAGCAGACCTCCCCAGCTCTGCAGACTCTGGCCAGGCCCAGGCTCAAGAGAAACTGAGATACCAGAACTCTGCTAATGTCATAAAAACAGGAGACACAGACTCCAATGAGGGCATGGAGCAATGGAGGTTGGTGGGGAGGGGGAGAAGAGATTAAGGCTAGTAGGGAGGGATCCAGGTGGGTGAAAGGCAGGGGCATTTCTTCTCAGACATGTGGAACACAGGATGGGCGGGGACAGGAAAACGTCTGGCTTCACAGCACAGAGCCTGAGTGGCCATGTGGCCCTGGGCTTCGGCAGCAGCTGCAGCTCCAGGCTGAAGACATCCAGGTACCATCTGCACAGAGGTGGCAGCTGCAGGCAAGAACATGCGGACACATATCTCTTCGAGCACCCGCAGGCTTCTTTGCCGCCCACACCATCTCAGGAGAGACAGTGGTAAGGAGCCCCATGTGCGGCAAGAGGTAGAGGTCCAGGACTGAACACCACTCCTGAGGTGGAGTGAAGGAGTCTGGGAAAGACACTGATGAACAGGAGATGTGATGCTTCTGAGAAGGAGAGAAACACTGGCAAAATGCCCCATGGGACTCAAGAGAAGATGAAGCCCAAGACACAGCCACTGGATGGGCAGGTCCAGGGGGCCCACGGAGGGCTAAGGGGTGAATGCCCTGGCAGGCAGATGATGAGGATCAGAGGTGTGGGCAGACCGAGGGGCAGTAGCCATAGACGCACACCATGCTCAAGTTGCCAGGAGCACGGCTTATAGAAGAGGAAACGGTGAGGCCCACAGATCTGACGGGGACACGGATGAGTCCTTCCTTGCCCCTGAGAGCTGCCTGGGTGACACCTGTGTCCCCAGCTCACAGGTCTGCACAGTGCCACCCCCTGTCCCGCCCTCACCACCATGCAGGTTGCCTGGGTTTTGGTGGCTGGATGAATGACGACAGCTGTGTGGTGGCAACAAAACTTAGATTCTCACAGAAGCCAATGATCTCTGCTACGTTCAAGCAGCCACAGGTTATACCTCACTTCTGCACTCAATACAAGCCTGGGTAGCCCTGAGGACTGCCTGGACCCACCCACTGCGAACCTCTAAGGGCAAAGCTGATAGCAGACAGTGAGCTCAGCACAACACGGTGCCACACACGTTAGAACTCCAGCCTCCCCTCCACGGGATGGACGCCATCTTGGTCCTGATGATAGAAACAAAGTGGACAGTCCTCTTGGCCCAAGAAGTGAGTCCATAAAATGAACCTGGTGGAATGGAAGAAGGAAGCAACTCAACAAGCGAAGATGAGCCAACTACCCAGTTTACCTACGTGGAAACAAGGCCAGAAAGCTGCTGCCTGTGAAGTCAGCCAGGGATAGCACAGAACAAAGTCTAGGGAAAGAAATGGTTCAGCCACAGCAGCTTCAGCTTCCTTTGGTGAACTTGGGACCACTCCTCCACCCCCTCCCCCCTGCTCCCCAAACATTCCAGAAGAGTTTCTCAACCCTGGCATTGCTATCAGCCGAAGCAGCAGCAGACTTTGCTGTAGGCACGCACCATCCTGTGCACTGTCAGGTATTTGGAGAGCCCCTGGCCTCTGCCCACTGAACACCAATAGAACCACCCCCCACCCCCAGCTGGGACAACCCAAAATGTCTCCCCCCAAGGCACTGTCTGTGGTCCCGGGGGGATAAAGCTGCCCCCAGGTGAGATTCGAGGCTCTAGAGCCCGAGCCCCCAGCCTGGGACCCTCAAACCTTGCTGTCCTTGTCCTTTTTACTACTCCTCATCGTCCTGACATCCTTGCCCACCCTGGCTGCTGCACCATCCCAGGCCGCATCCTCTGCAAGAACACCAGAGCCAGTACAGCACTGCCGGACAGCAAAGGCCCGCAGCCTCTACCGAGGGGAGCTCGTGGGCAGGTGGTCTGGCAGCGTGCTGCCCGTAAAGCACTTCAGGTGCGTGTGCTGCTGGACACCCCCTACCCACCCCACTCTCATGTTGCTGTAGGCAGAGGTGATCTGAGCAATTTGAAGGTAAGATTTGAATTCAAATCACGCTGCTCTGGCCACTAAACATGATGTTCACAAAGCTTTATTTGTTTACAAGATGCCATTACAATGTTAGAACGAAAATACCATGTACTACATTGTACACAGGTTATAGTCTCAGTGAGAAAAAAAGGAAATACATCAAAGTGCTGGCAGGATCTCTGAGGGAAAGGAGTTCGTTTTTCCTGCTGTCTTACATTTCCAAATATCACAATCAGTCCCACTGAAACCCCCAGCTGGCAGCCCATCTAGGAGAGGCCAAGGGACAGGCTTCCAGGACTGCCAGTGCAGTGAGGATGTGGTTTGTCATCACCCCCATGGCCTTAAACACACACCCTACTTCTGACTCATTTCAGCAGTCACCTCACCCAGTGACCCAGCACCCTCAAGCTACCTTGACCCAAGTCCTGTGGGTGTGTGATGGGCCTGCCCCACACATCCCTGGTCCCTCACTTTTCCTTCTCCCATCAATTCCACTCATTCTCAGACCCTAATCCCTCAGGTCCCACACCCGAAGAAACTCTGGGCAGGCCGGCGCCAGAGCTCACTTAGCTAATCCTCTACCTGCGGCGCTGGCACCCCGGGGTTCTAGTCCCGGTTGCTCCTCTTCCAGTCCAGCTCTCTGCTGTGGCCCGGGAATGCAGTGGAGGATGGCCCAAGTGCTTGGGCCCTGCACCCGCATGGGAGACCAGGAGGAAGCACTTGGCTCCTGGCTTCGGATCAGTGCAGCATGCCGGCCAGCAGCCATTTGGGGGGTGAACAAACAGAAAAGGAAGACCTTTCTCTCTGTCTCTCTCACTGTCTAACTCTGCCTGTCAAAAAAAAGAAAAAAAAGAAAAAAAAGAAAAAAAAAGAAAAAAAGAAAGAAAGAAAGAAAGAAAGAAAGAAAGAAAGAAAGAAAGAAAGAAAGAAAGAAAGAAAGAAAGAAAGAAAGAAAGAAAGAAGAAACTCTGGGCAATCTTTTATTAGGGCTCAAATGCTCCAAATTCAGATCAGAGGCCTATGCACATCCACCCTGGCTTCCAAATGAAGGATCTGCTCTTTAAAAGCAGCCAAAGAGTAGGAGGAGCAAGAGGCCGGCAAGTGGAATGCATACTCTGCCAGCTAGAGGCTGGCTAACCTGGGATGCTTTCTCAGATGGATTTCACTGCAGGAGCAAAGAAATCCCAAGGTTTCCAGTAGTCTGCAAACTGTCAGTACAGCTAGCTCTCCTGGCTAGCTGGTCAGTTCCATCCATCCATCATGGGTTTTCTGGCCACTTTGCGAGTCTCCAAAAAGACTGGGTTGTTCACATGTGTGCAATTTCCTCTTGAAATGGCTACTCTACCTTGAGTTTTCTTTATATCTACAGTGAAAGCTTCAGGAAGAGCTTCAGGGGGCTCTAGGGACTGAGCGCCTGTCCCACCCACCAGCACAGGTCTCCCCTTGTCCCCGGTCACTTTTTGAGAAAGCAAACTGCTTCACAGCATGCATCCATTTATCCACATGGACAAGCTGTAAGCAGTCTTTAATGCCCACTATTGTAGTAGAATATTCAGTTTATAAAACCTACAGTACGAGTCATAATCACATATGAACACAGCCAGCCTCTGCACATAATGCTACATATAAATAGTCAATCAGTGGGCATGTGGAAATGACAGCACCCAGAAAACAAAAAAAAAAAAAACAAAACAAAACAAAAAAAAAAAACACAAAACCTGGCAACCTGTCAAGAATCGAGAAACTGTTCCCTTTCTTACCAAACAGGAAAGATTCTGGCCGTCGACATGTGGGGTCCTAGGATGTGAAACTCTAAGCTCTCCTTTTGTCTACTGAAGGGTCTCTACGGGTCTGCCAGGTGCTCTGCTAAGCTCCTGAGACTGCAGGGACTCGAGGGAAGGATGCCACCTGCCCACCCAGCACAGCATGCAGACTACACGCTCTGTTCCACCCTGGCCAGGTCACCACTGGAGAAGACAAGGGGAGGGGGCGTGTAGGTGGGGAAGTTCTCCAGGTTGGTCTTCAAGAAGAGGAGATGCTCGATGGTCTCTACTTTGAGAGATGTTTGTTCTTTCATCGTGGGGCTGTTCAGGGAGGCAAAGATCCTTTCGGAGAAGGCTCTCGTGGCAGGACAAGACAGGTAGATGGTGGCCAGTCTGGCTAGAGCTGGCCAGGCCCCACGCTTCCTCTCCCAGTAAGCCAGGGGGTCCTCCTGGGCGCCAACTGTCTCGTTTTCCCGCAGGTACTTCCTGACAACGATGCTAGCCTGGTGGTTCTCAGTGGACAGTGAAGCCCCGCTCCTCTCAGACGCCAGCAGCCCCACACTCTCCAGCTGTTCCAGCAGGCTCTTTTCCCTCTGGCCCGGGAGGAAAGAGCCAGGACTGCTGCTTCTCTGCAGAGGCTCCTTCTGGCTCCTCCCCTCAGCCCGAAGGCTCTTGACCATGCCAGTGGTGTTCCCCCGTGTACTCCTGGGGCTCTGCAGGGAGCGAGAGGCCGGCAAAGAGTATTCAGACACCATGATCTCCTTCACTTTGTACACAAGCACTTGTCTCCAGTGGTCGATGTCTGCCCCCACGGGCAGGATGGCCTCGATCTTCCCCTTGAAGCGGGGGTCCAGTAGGGTCGCCAGCACAAACTCCTCACGGTGGAACAGCTCGTTGAGCTGAGAGTCTGTGGAGAGCTGCAGGGCCAGGCTCTTGGCCAATCTGATGGCCGCACCGAGCTGCCCATCGCTCTGTCCCTTGAAGTGCCCGTGAACTTGATCCAGGAAGATGTGCAGGTAGCGCAGCTGGGGTAGCACCTGGCTTAGCGAAGCCTCTGCCCGGCTTGCCTCCTGGACCACCATCTGGAAGGGCTGCAGGAGCTGGACGAGACTGTCCGTCAGGCTCCAGAACATGGCTGACAGGGCGGTACCATCCTTGCCGAGCTGGTGCTTCTCCTCATACTGCTGCAGCGGCTGCTGCTGCTCCACCAGCCACGCCATCAAGCAGTAGGCTGAGGCCCAGTGGTCTGAGAGGGCCTCAAAGGGCTGCTGAGCTGGGAGGCCACACTGGAGCTGAAGCTGACCGAGCAGCCGCCGGGCCTCCGCTGAACCTTGGAAATGGCTGCAGATGGCCCTGGCTGTGCCCAGGATGATCTGGATGCTGTGATGGTGATACAGAAAGTTGCTCACCAGGGAGTCAAGGCAGTGGGCGAAACAAGGGATGTGGGTATAACCCTCAGCCTTCACCGCCAGCTCCAGGCCAGGACAGCCACCCGACACCAGGAACCCTGCTCTTAGGGAGCCGCGGCCCAGCCAGAGGCTGATCTGCTCCAGCAGCTCCGGCTGCTTGTCCTCTACTGCCCTCTCTAGGGGCAGGCCCCGGACCCAGAGGACTGCTTGCTTCCTAAGGTTCCCTGAAGCCACAGCAGGGTCCAGCCGTGTGGCTCTCCAGTGTGCGGTGACGGCCACATAGTTCACGACCGAGTCCTGGGCCAACATGGAGGCAGTGAGGTGAACCCGGCCCCCCTCGGCCCACTGCATCTCCTGAAGCACCTGCTCGCCCACCGCCTCGTGGAGCAGGGGCAAGGCCTTGTTGGAGAAGAAGGCTGGGGAGGGCAGGTGGTAGCAGGGGTCCACCTGGGCCATGAACCTCCTGAAGGGCTGGGAGGCAACAAAGGAGAGCGGCAGGGCCAGGCTGCAGAGCAGTTCCGTGATGCTGTGGTTCCAGGCCTGGGCGCGGGGCTGATTGGGGGCGTATGTGCCACTCTGGCCATCCCAAGCCGCTGCAGGGGGAGCAGGTGAGGGTGGTAGGGCTAGGAAAGGCAGCTCAGGACTGCCCAGGCCCAGCTCCCTGTTGCTGCCTCCCAAGGGTACAGCAGCTGGGTGGCATCTTGGCACTGGGCACCCCCCGGACGTAGAGCTGGGAGCACCTGCTGGCAGGCCCATCTGCTGCGCCTCCACCGCCCCTCCAGCCTTGCCCCCGCCCCGCTGGCTCACTGCCGACAGCCTCCTCTCCCACCGCAGCCCGTGTTTATTGGTCAAGTGACGGACAAGGCCCGTGGTTTGGGACGGCCCCTCCGCTTTTCTCTGTCTGACACTGGTGTGACACAGGTTGCAGATGACCTGGCAGACGTCCTTGTGGTCGGCAGTAAAGAACTCTCTGACGTCCAGTGCGGGCTGAGGACCTGTGTCCTGCAGGAGGCCCAGGGAATGCTGGGCAGAAGCCAAGCCCTGGGTCTCTGCTTTCATAGCCCTCACCAGCTTTTTCAAACAGGGGGGCTTTGGGAGGCTCAGCTGGGTCTCTGCCTTCGCCTTCATGCCAGGAAGCAAACGCTTTTTCTTCCGCTTCTTCAGGTGCTGCACCTCTCCGGGCACATGGGCCGGGAGGATGGCAGCTTGGTTTGCTTCCTGGTTTACATTCATCCTCTCAGGACTTGTCACCTGAAGGGACTCGGGGAGGGTCTGGCCCCAAGCTGAGGCAGAAAGGGTCTGCTCCACGCTGGGCGGCAGGGACCTCGACCTCTTTCTTGCTGGCTGCCTTTCCTCTTTCCAGCCATGTGCCTTCTGTCTGGATGCCTTCTTCTTCTCAGGCTGCACAGGGGCCTGCTGCCCAGGGACAGGTTTGAGGCCGTGTGCCCCAGGGTCTCTCCTTGGCTTACTCTGCCCAGGGCTGGCTCTGCACTTTGTCTGGGAGGCAGCTGGGTGAAGACCAGACCCTCCCAGGGAATGGGCTTTTCTCTTTCTATTACAGGCAGGTAAGTCAAACGTACCTTCTACCTGTCTCTCCAGAACTTGGTCTAGGTCAGGTAAAGGCATTAATGTGCCACTGGGCAGTGGGTGGGGGCTGCTCCTTAGAAGGGACAGGTCACTTTCATGCTCCTTTGGGGAACCACAGGGTCTGAGCTTCTTTCTGTGGCCACTGGCAGCCTTCACCTCTACTTCAACAAACTCAGATTTGACCTCAGTCCCCGGCAGGCCCTCCCTGGCAGCACTGTCAAGTCCACGAGGGGTGTTGGTAGCTTTGGTGTTGAACTCGGGGCCAAAACAAGCCAGGGTGGCAGCTGGGCTCTTGGGTCTGGTCACAGGGGAGCTGGCACATACATCGGGCTCCTGTCCCAGTGATCCTGAGGGCGTCTGTCTCTTGGGGGGCTTTTTTACTTTTTCTGGTTCCAACATGCTTGGGACCTTGGGGAAATGAGATGAGCCCAGGCTGCAAAGCAAGATGAAGAGAATGGCTCTCAGCTGCCCAACTTAACACCAGATGATGCAAGGAGGAAGGAGAGGCCCAGATGGCAAAGAGAAGAGGAGCACAATATGAAATCAGCCCCAGGACAAAACTCCCCAGACAAACCTCCTTGCTGAGGCAGGGCTTGCATTCCGCTAGCTGGAAGGAGCACTCCCCAAACCGGGTCCCACAGCCCTCTGCACTTCATTGGTTGTGCATCCATCTACTTTGCCCCAGCGACTGATTTTTCTCTTTCAGTGTTTATTGAGAATGCAGGAGGCACCTGGCTATTCTTCTATGTGCTGTGTTCACATGGCCTCCAGATTAGCAGGAAACGTGTGAACGAGAGTCACATGTACAACACGTACAACCAGGGCCACGTGGCGCTGTGAGACTCCGGGAGGGGCCTGACCTCGCCAAGGAGTCATGAAAGCTTCCCAGGAAGAGACCAGTGCTAGTTGCTGCAAGTGCTGGCCAGGAGAGAATGGAGCCTTTCGATCTGAGTCCTGCACACTTGGCTGCATCGGCACAGTAAACGTGCAACGTCGCTTGACAGCTGCTCAGTGAAGCATGGGTCCTGCTCACAGCTTCTTTTTTAAAAAGATTTATTTATTTATTTATTTATTTGAAAGGCAGAGTTACAAAGAGAGAGAGAGGCAGAGGCAGAGAGACAGAGATCTTCCATCCACCGGTTCACTCCCCAAATGGCTGCAACAGCTGGAGCTGGACTGATCCGAAGCCAGAAGCCAGGAGCTTCTTCCAGGTCTCCCATGTGGGTGCAGGGGCCCAAGCACTTGAGCTATCTTCTGCTGCTTTCCCAGGCGCATTAGCAGGGAGCTGGATTGGAAATGGAGCAGCTGGGCCTCAAACTGGTGGCTATACCGGATGCCAGCGTTGCTACAGAGGCTTTACCCACTACGCCACACCAGTCCCTGCTCACAGCTTTGAACTCCTTGGTAAGTCATTCTCCTGAAGGCAGCACGGGATGGAGCAGCCTGCAGATACCAAAGACCTCAGGCCTGCAGTGTCCTCTCAAACTCCTTTCTCTGTCACTGACAAACTCTAGGACAGACTGCTTCCCCTTTCTCACCTCCCAGTCCCTGGCCAAGGCCCCAGTGACCACCTCATCACTTATCTGCGATGCCTGACACCTTCTGCTTTCCTCCCTTGGAAATGCTGCTTTTCCTGGGTACATATTTTCTTGGTTTTCTTAACACCTCTGCCTCCTTTTTATGTCCCCTCTTCTACTGTGTGTCCCTTAAGGGTCCCTCAGGCTGCCTTCCTAAGTCCTTTTCTCATTCAACACAACCTCCAGGCTGCTTTTTTCATCTCCTGTGACTTGATGGTCACTGACGTGTTGGCCACTGCCAGGTCTCTCTGGCTCACAACTCTTCTGAAGCTTGCTGTTCCTAAGGCCAACTCCATTTTGGTAAATGGGACACTGGTGCACGCAGATGAGCAAGCCCCAAACCCAAGCACAATCCCCAGTTCCTCCCTCCACATCCATTTTCCTAAAGATTCGGTCAAGTTCAGGGTTCCAAAGAGAATAAAGACCTGAAGTAATCAGAAGACAAATGGGCAAAAGGAGGCAAAGATAGACATCGATAGTCAAGAAAAAGCCCAGTCACGTAGGATGTGTTTCCCTGGCAAAGAGAGTTCATGGAGTTAACAGTCCTGCCACCAATATTTGACAGTAAGTAGCCTGCATCTCTGCAGACCAGAACATGACACAGCTTATGTAGGAAGATGAAGAGGAAAATGTTATGGCACAACACATTACACTGCCACTTGGGATGCACACAGCCCATAGCGAGGTGCCCGTTCTAGTCCTAGCACCTCTGCTTCTGATCCGACTTCCTGCTAGTGCATCCTGGAAGCCCCCGGATGATGGCCCAAGTGCTTGAGCCCCTGCCACTTATGTGGGAGACCACGATGGAGCTCAGGGCTCCTGGCTTCAACCTGTCCAAGCCCTGACTATTATGGACACTGGGGGAGTGAACCAGCAGATGGAAGATCTCTTTTTCTTACTCTTTCAAGTAAATGAAAATAAACTTAAAGAGAGAGAGAGAGATGGAAAACCTGTACATTTTGACAGGGTGCTGTTCACCATTAAGAAGGATCACCAGAGACGGCAGGGCTACCTCTGAACAGGTGACAAGCCAGCTGACGTGGCTCCTGGGAGGAGTGCCCAGACAGGAGGCCCTGCTGCTGTGAAGTCTCAGAAGGGGTAGGGGACAACGGCTTTAAGCCAGTCTCTGAAAAACTTCGGCAGCTACCCAGAAATCAAATGAAAGCCCCCTGTGAGGTGATGCTTGTGGAAGGGCTAGATGAAGGCACACAAAAACCCAGAAGAACTACTCCCAGATGTCAGAGCTGGAGAGGACTTACCTCAGCTCTTATTTCATGGCTGAAGAGACTGCAACACAGCGTCACGGTCCAGGCCAGCAGAAGCAAACCACATGCTTTTATCACTATTGATGAGGACACAGAACAAGGCATTAAAACCAGGCCCATACCAACAATGGCACAGAAAAGGGAAAAATCTGTCAGGACTATAGCCCAGATCACACCCCAGAACCTTTCTCTGAAGACTCACAAGCTCACTCCAGGACACCAGTCTTGCCATTTCCCAACCAGCCTCATCCCATCGGCAACTCTGTACTCTGCAGATGCTCTTGATCTAGTCAATTGTTAAAACAAAAGCTTGCCGGCGCTGTGGCTCACTAGGCTAATCCTCCGCCTTGCAGCGCCGGCACACCAGGTTCTAGTCCCGGTTGGGGCACCGGATTCTGTCCCGGTTGCCCCTCTTCCAGGCCAGCTCTCTGCTGTGGCCAGGGAGTGCAGTGGAGGATGGCCCAAGTGCTTGGGCCCTGCACCCCATGGGAGACCAGGATAAGTACCTGGCTCCTGCCATCGGATCAGCGCGGTGCGCAGCGGCCATTGGAGGGTGAACCAACGGCAAAGAAGACCTTTCTCTCTGTCTCTCTCTCACTGTCCACTCTGCCTGTCAAAAAAAACAAAAACAAAAACAAAAGCTCATGAGATGTCTACGTCGAGCCAGCAGTGTGTGCACTCAGACAGGACTATGGCACAGTACTAGGCTGGCTGTCACCTGGGGCCAGATAGAAGAGACAACTTGGAAAGAGCAAGCAAAGGGGGGTATAGGACTGTGGGCAGGGAGGGATCTCCAGGGGGCCTTGGGCTCGCCTACAGATAAACCAGGTCTGTAACACTGAAGAGCTTGGACTTCCTCTTGCAGGGGGTGGTTTACCTTCGGCTATTGTTTCCGGATCTCCAACTCCCAACAGACCCCGTTGGGTAGATCTAGATCTCACGCAATCACTTGCAAAACAGTAATGCCACCCTGTTCTCCTCCACCGAACACATGAGGACGGCGGCCAGGCTGACCTTAGGAGCCACCCTAGGAAGCAAAATGTAAGAAGCTACTTGTGAGGCATATCACACACACTGGAGGGCAGCCACAAGGTGACACTGGGAGGGAGCCTCTGGGTGTACCCTGAGCAGATCGCATGGGCAGTGGCCTGGAAGGCACCCTGCAGCCAGATGGGAGAGTCAAGCACACCTCGGGGAAGCCAGACGTGGGGGTGGGGAGCGTTTGGAGAGCTGGAGGAGGACAGGATCAGAGTGACTCCCTAGGGATCCTGTTAACTTTTCTAAGTCAGTTTTGGATCTGCTGAGCTGACAGTAATACTATGGGGAGGGCAGAGGATGAGGAGACACAGAAAAACCCAAAGAACGTCATATTAAGGAAACCAAGAGAAAAGCCTTCCCAGAACGGAGTGGTCCTTGGGGTCAAAGGTCATTGCAGAAGAAAATGAAGCTTTGGTAGTAGAGAGATGTGAAGAAGCAGGTGTCCAGATGCTGGAGGTGTGGACGGGAGGGAGAGGCCTGGCCAATGTGCAATGAGAGCAGAGATGAATCTGACCACAGGAAAGCAGCAAAATCAATGATAGGAGCTTCCCAGGGGAGAGGGATCCAGGGCACAAAACTGTGGAGAAGGGAAAGAATTTCCTTTCTTTCTTTCTTTCTTTCTTTTTTTTTTTTCTGCTAGAGGGACAAAGTAGGAGTATTGTGGCAGGAAAGCGCTTGATTAGGGTACAACAGCATGGAGGCAGTTCATGGCTGGCGAGAGAACACTCATTCTCCAGGGGAAGCAGCCCAGTGATCTCCCAGCAACCCTAGCTTGTGACGGGAGGTGCCTCAGCAATGACAGACACACTGGCTCAGTAAGTCAGAGGCTTGCTTCCACCGGCTCTTGCCAATCCCTCTCCTCATGCGTGCCCAGAAGAAAGGGGCAACTCTTCCATTTCTCTTGTGCCTACCTCAGCCCAGCCCCTTCTCAGCTCTCACTCTGGCCAGGCCCACCTCCTCACACCTCCTACTGGGCGCCAGAGGATTTCTAGGCAGGTGCTGGGCCCTCAAGGCCTACATTTCTCACTCCAGCATCTATGAGGAGGTTGAAAGGCCGTGATGGAAAGGATGAGAACAGAGGACTGTCTCAAAGAAAGAGCACAGCAAACCAACACATACTTTTGGATCGTGTCCCACATGCAAATTTGGCTGCACACAAAACATAAGGCAGGCCTTTTAAATAACCAAACATCATCAGACTTCAGGCCATGCAAAAATGATCCTAAAGGGAATTATGCTAACACAGCCCACCAGCAGAGCCCTGCGCTCCTTTCTGGGAGGTGGGGGTTCCTAGTGGATTCGATGCATGCCCTCCCAGGTAGGCTCCGCGGGATCGAACCGTGACCCTGCTATCCACTAGCTGGGATCCAGCGCTGGTGCGTCCCTATTTTCCCGTAGACATAAGCAAGAGTTACGGATTAAACGAGTTAACAAAAGTTCATGGCACGTCTCGGCACAGAAGAATTGGTCAGAATGGCTGTTTTGGAAGATTCTGGCCTCACCTGGCGGTTTGGGGGGCGCGGAGAAACTGGGGAGAGAAGGCTAGCCGAGGAAGCGGCCACCTGGGCCGTGCGGCTACGGTGCAGGCCCCGCCACGCTGCCCTTGTCCCCAGAACCTCGGCTCTCACGTCAGTAGGGCGGGGGCAGTACCGGCCCCTACCCGGCTTACCTTACACCAGGTGCTGGGGGCGGGGCCGGATGCCCGCCGAGACAGCGCTGGCAAAGCTGATCAAGCCCGCGCGGTCCCGCACGGTAGCAGCTGGCAGCTCCACAGCCCTCAGGGAAGACCCACAGCCCCGTAGCATCGCAGACCCAGCGCCCGGTCGCCCACCACCCACCGAGTCCCATTTGGCGGGAACTCCAGGAACGCACCAAACGGCCAGCGAGAGGCAGGCCGGGATGCCAGGGGCGCAAGGACCTACTTCCGGGGGTCTCTGCGCTCACCCCTGCCCTGGCAACCATTGGTACGGTCCACCAGCCCGAGGAGGGCTCAGGTGCGCAGGCGCCCGCAGGGGCCGCCGGAAACGGTGGAGTGGCGGGAGGGGCGGGGCTAGTCTGCTCGGCCGGAAATCGTCCGCTGAGTGGCGGCGATGGAGACTTTAGTGCTAATGGCTTAGCGCTTAGTACTAGTTTAGCGGTATAGCCATAGAGAAAGCGCTTAGTTGACCTTAGTTAACACATGTTCGGTGGTGTGCACTCCGTGCCACGCTGTGGCCGGTGTTGGCCAGCATTGTCTGCTCCCGGGCCCCTTCCACCCCGAGTCTGCTCGCACAGAAGAAGCTGGCGCGAGAACAAGGATTGCCTTGGGGGTCTCCCTGCCTTGAAGGCCCACTTGTCATTTCAGGAACCTAAGCCAGGGTGCCTCCTGGGACGGCTGCTCATTGCTTAGTGATGCCCCCCAGGCCTTAGCGCTGTAGCCATAGAGAAAACACGTGTGTGTCCTTATTTAATACATGTTTGGTGACGTCTGCTCCTCCCCGCTCTGGCCTAGGCAGGCCCAGGGGGTCACGGCCGCAGACTAATACCTCGGCAAACCAAACCGTCCAAGGGCCACAGACGCTGTTGTCCCTGGGTAGAGCCGCTCCCCCCAAGGAGGGAGACAGCTTGTGTCTCACAGGCTGCCTTGGGCTTCTCTTCCCCGCCAACCCAGGCACAAATTCCAGGACCCAGCCTGGAGGCACGCGTCCCTTTGACCTTGTGGTAGTCTCGGCTTTTCCTGTTGCCTTTTTCCACTCCTGCTGGCCAAAGCAAGCCAACATCGGCTGGTCTAGTCCTCTCTGGGACCCTTTGCAACAAAAGTCTATATGCAGGCTTTCCCTCTTGGTCTCCTCTCTACCCTTCAGAGACAGCAGTGTCAATTTCTTTATTAGCATGTTAAAATGGGAAATGTTACAGTGTGAAAGAAAAATTACTCACACTTGTTAGGGATGGTAAGGAAGACTCTTTAAGGGGATGGCCGCAGGGAGGGTGCTTACAGCTCAGAAGAGAGATCGTGCTCAACTCCTGATCCAGAAAGCACAAGTGGTAACTTACAGCCAAGGAGCAGACAGGAGGCAGCGCATGGGCAACTACTCAGTAGTAAGTACCCTGACTGCCTTCTCCCAGGCCGCTTTAGAAGCGCTTCCCTTTTCCTGATGTCACAAAGTTATTCTCTTGTTTTATTTCAAATATTTTGACATTTTGCTTTTAGAGGCATAGTCTACTGCAGTCTGTTACAATAATTTTGTACCTTGCTAATATAATAGGTAATAGAGTGACATTGTTGTTTCAATTTGCTTTTCTTTTTTTTAAATTTTTTTTATTTTTTTTTATTTTTGACAGGCAGAGTGGACAGTGAGAGAGACAGAGAGAGAAAGGTCTTCCTTTGCCGTTGGTTCACCCTCCAATGGCCGCCGCTGCAGCCGGCGCACCGCGCTGATCCGATGGCAGGAGCCAGGAGCCAGGTGCTTTTCCTGGTCTCCCATGGGGTGCAGGGCCCAAGCACCTGGGCCATCCTCCACTGCACTCCCTGGCCATAGCAGAGAGCTGGCCTGGAAGAGGGGCAACCGGGACAGAATCCGGTGCCCCAACCGGGACTAGAACCCGGTGTGCCGGCGCCGCAAGGTGGAGGATTAGCCTATTGAGCCACGGCGCCGGCTCTCAATTTGCTTTTCTTAATTATAAATGATGGCTAGCACCTTTTCGTGGCCACAAGTCTTCCATATTACTTCTCTTGTGAATTGCCTATTTGTGTCCTTTGTCTTTTGAGCTACTTGTGCTGTTTTTGCCTTGCAGGAAATTTGCATTTTAATTTAGTGAAGCTTAATCTTTATAGCTTCTGGTTTTCTATTTTTTTTCTTTCCCTTAGATAGACCTTCCCCATTACGTAATATTTTTTGATTCTCTTCAGTGTTTTCTTGTAGTACATTTATAGTTCCATTTAAATTTGTTAAATTTCCATCCATCTGCGTTTATTTTGTTGCCAGACATTGGACTGTATCTGCTGTCTTGCTCATCTCTTTTTCACCATGCTTGTTATATTCTTAATTCCTAATTGCAAATTTAAGTTCATTTCTGGACTCTTATTTTCTCCCATTTATTAATTTGTTCATGTGCCAACACCATTGTTTTAATATCTGTTGCTCAGCAAATTGTAACTGTATCACTTTTTAATAGCTGCCAGTTTCCCTCTCATCATTCTGCTTTTCCAGAAATATACTTGTTATTCCTTTCATGTTTGTATTTCCCTGAGAACTTTAGAATCAGCATAGCAATTCTAGCACCTTCTCCCTTGCCTCCACCGCACAAAAACATCCATGTTTTTACAGGGAGGACACGACATTTATAAATGTAGGACTTTTGAACCAGACAGACATGCAGATACAGAAGCAAACCTTGGGAATTTTTCACTGCACTGTTCCCCAGGTCCTGTTTCACATGTCAAAGCACACAGGGTGGGGCTGGCACCACCGACATGCCACATGGGTGCTGGTTGGTGTCCTGTCTCCTCCACTCCTATTCCAGCTGTCTGCTAATGGCCTGGGAAAAGCAGCAGAATATGGCCCAAGTGCTTGGGGCCCTGCACCCACCTGGGAAACCCGGATGAAGCTCCTGGCTCCTGGCTTCTGCCTAGCCCAGCACTGACTGTTGTGCCATCTGAGGAGTGAACCAGCACAAGGAAGATTCTGTGTGTGTGTGTGTGTCTGTAACTCTGACTTCCAAGATAAATAAATTAAAAAAAAAAAAAGTACACAGGTTGTTGGCTGTTTAGGGGGAAGAAATAGCGATCCTGGTGCCCTGGGAACATGAAATGCTGCACAGAACTGAAGAGACACTGTGTAAAAATTTATCCGATGAGTAGTTGGCATCTAGTGATCAGCCAGGCGCTTTAATCCATGACCTCAGTTCCTGTTCACAACCTCCAGCACGCAGGCTCTACTGTTACTATACCAATGCATCCACACAGCTGAAACTCAGAAGGATGAAGTCATGTTCACTTAACTGCTAATTGGTGGAGCTGGAAGTGGAGCCCCAGCAGTCGGGCTCTGCACCCTAACCCCAAAGCTGAGCTGCTCAGTGAAGGTGAACTGCTCCTGGGAGGCTGGTAGAGGAAGAAAAATGGGTTTGCTGAATCACCTGCTGCTGATCAGGAGCCAGGCTGTTGCACCTGGCACTGCAACTGAGACTGACGAATCTGCAGTGGTTCTTCAGGGTCCAAGGATCCTGTCAGAGAAGAGTCACCGCCCCAGTGTGTCCTGGGCAGCTTTCAGTAAGCAAGAAGACCCTGCTGCTGTCATGGCCCTTAATCCTCAGGGTAGGGAATCAACAGGTGCTGTGGATTTCTTTCTTTTTTAAAAAACTATTAATTTATGTGTTTTTGAAAGGCAGAATGATAGGGTTAGAGGGGCACACACACACACACACACACACATACACATCTTCCATTTGCTTGTTCATTCCCCAAATAGCCACAACAGCCAGAGCTGAGCCAGGTGTTCCATCCAAGTCTCCCAGATGGTGGCAGGGCATTATGCTGCCTTCCCAGGCACATCAGCAGGAACCTGGATCAGAAGCAGAGTAGTAGCAGGGACTTGAACCAGCATTTGGATATGGAATGCCCATGTCATAAGCCATAATTTAACCTACAACCCTGGCCTGGTGCTGTGGGTTCCTAAGAATCTGCATTGCAACCATTATCCACCCACCTTTTCAGGAAGGAGATGCCTGGAGGTTGAGCTCAGGGATTAGCTAGGCTCAAGAACAATGCCTGGGCTCCCTGCCTTACGTGGCTTCCATGGAACCCCCAGCTACCCGTGCTGGGATTCATGCCTGCTCTGACCCCCTGTACTCCCTGAAAGTGTGGGTGCTTCCTTCTCCCTGAAGCATGGTCTCCTGGTCTGTGGAGAAAGCCAAGTGAAGGACTTGGGGTGGGCAGGAGCCCAGCTTCCCTCAGGGCTTCCCAACCTCCTTTTGCAGGGATTCTAGGATGATGACTAAATTAGGAAATCATTTCAGGGGTTGAGGTTCTACAGTAGTGGTTCCCAACACGGGGGGAAGTAGAGAGGAGGCCTCCCCCAAAGACTGTTTGAGTGGCTAGAGACATTTAGGACTGTCACCATGGGGGGCAGGGACAGGGTTCTGCTGGCATCTGGCATGTGGGAGGTCAGCAGTGCTGCTACACAGCCCACCATGCACAGGACAGTGCCCCCAACCTCCCCCAGCCCAGAGAATTAGTTCAAACTGTCGACGGGGCTGAGGTCGGGAGACCCTGTACTGCAAAGCTTCAGCGCCCATGTCCCTGGGAGCTGGCTGAAAATGCAGTCTGGGGGAGGATGTTGTGGCAGAGCAGGCTGAGCAGCCACTCAGGACAGACACCCCCAACCCGTATCCGAGCACCGGTTTGGTTCAGAGTCTCAGTTCCACCACTTCAGGTCCAGCTTCCTGCTAATGTATCCTTGGAGACAACAACAGGTCATTGTTGCCTGCCACCCACATTGGAGACTGGGATGGAGTTCTGGGCTCCAGGCTTCAGCCTGGTTCAGCCCTGGCTGTTATGGCCATTTGGGGAGTAAATCAGTGGATGGAAGATTCTCTCTCTCTCTCTCTCACTTTAACATAGATGAAAACAAATAAACATTGTTCAGAAATGCAAAGTCTGTTGTCCACCTGTGAGGCTCTAACCTGAATGGGTGTGGTGATTGGTGCCCAGACACGTGCATCTTCAAGCGTTCCAGTTCATCCTCTATCACTCATATAGGTGCATTATACTCCACACTGAGACATACCACTGCAGACCAGATTTGGAGCGTGATTCCAGAACTGGTCCCTGGGCCTGTGAGAACTCGTGAAAAAACCACTGAAAAGCGTCTCACCAAGCCAAGTCTTGCTCCATCCCGGGAGAGTGTCGTAATGTACCTGGCTTCCATCCCAGCAGTCTATGGGTTGTTTTGATGGTTAATTATTTAAAAAAAATTTTAATTGACAAAATTGTATACATTCAGGGTATACAACAGGATGTTTTGGAATACACACATACACACACACACAGTGGAATGGCTAAATTGAATAATTTAACCTGTTACCTCATTTATTTTATATGTGTGTGTGTGTGTAGAAAACACTTAAAATCTATTACCAATTTTCTACTATGTGATTTCATTACAGTCATCCTATTATACACTGGGTCTCTTAAGTTCATTCCCCTCGTCCAACTGAAGCTTGTATTCGGTGACTCACATCTCCCCAACAAGTGAGATTTGTTAACCAGAATGCGACGTGAATTAGCACAGGACTTTGGCCCTCTCTTTGCTGGTGTACCAAGTCAAGGAAACCCTGCCAACTGATTTCATTCTGGGAAAACCCAGGGTTTGTAAACAGGTCACTTCCAGGGCACGGACAAGCTGACCTAGAGCAGTGCCTTCGTGGTTCACCTGCAGCTACTCACGTCCCCAGGACTCAGTGATCCTCTTTCTGTTCAAAGCCATCAGAATGCACAAGGAGAGGTGAGCCTGTGGCCAGCAGAAACAGCACCTCCTAGTCCCCACTGAGAAACAATCCAGGCTGGCAGCTACTTCTGCCGTAGCCTGCAGCGTGCCAGATCTCTTGGGGCTGCTGAGTTGGGAAAAGGTCCCAGATTGTTTAGGGGGGCTGGTAGCCCCATTAAGCTGGCAGGGTTCCTCAGCTCTCTGTCTTGCAACAGGTTAACTGCTCGACACATGTTAGCCATTTGCGTTAAATATGCTGGAAGGACATTTCATTCCCACTACAGTGCTGTCTGGGG